CCGGAACGCCCCGGCAGCCGCGCCCGCCGCTGCGAGGGGAACGCTGGTGAGCGGGTCGCGCCGTGGTGTAAAGGCTGCCTGTAGAGGGACTTGAGAGGGATTGCCTTCGCTTGACGTGCACCCTGATTTGGGGCGAGGAGTTGTCGAGCTTCACTTCCTAGCCTCTGGCTCTTCTGATTCTGTTCATCGTTCAGGATTCTTCCGTGACTACCCAAGATAACCACCAATGCCCTCTGTAAAAACTTGGCCCGAGGAACACTAGTCCCATTGCCGTCAAAGTCATCCTATATTCTCATGAATTTAATTAGTACACGAGATCACCAGACTGGCTGAAGTTCTCAGTTAAGAAGGGAATGTTTATTGGCTGCAGGAAGAGGAGGAAGGGTGGATAGGGAATCCATCACTTATAACATGAAGTGAGCTGCCCCTCTTTAGCGTACCTGCAGTCAACTGTTTAGAAATGTGAGCAGGTGTTATCAATGGAACTAACTTTTTTTCCTCTGAGTAAATTAAGAGGCTATACAGGAAAAAATAACACATGTATCCAGCTTACCAGGTACCAAATGCCTATATGCACAATGAAATAACTATAATATTTATTCCACCATTTCATATAGTTCTTATTTCTGCATTATTACAGAAGATTCATGCTCACACTCTGTGGCGTTTGTAACTAATTATGACCACTGAGAATGAGAAATAACTCCACCGACACGAAACTGGTATGAATGAAAAACAATCAGGCCCTGTTAGACTAATATATGACCTTTGTGATAACGCCCCACCCCAGGGATAACCTATTCAGGCTCCAGAAACTTGCTTTCCATTCAACAAGAACACCACATATCATTTGTTAACAGATACAATTGTGTCACTCATATGGTTTTTTTTATTTATAGAAATTTTAAATACCAGAAAATGCTTATGCAAGGATTATTCCTATTACCATAGCATCTACAAATTCTAAATGAAACCACAACTTCATTGTGCTAGGTACTGTAGAATACACCAAATAAATGAGTGTTCTTGCCTCAGAGAGCCTGTATCTTACACAGGCAAGAAACAGCAGGATAGAAATGATGGCAAAGAGATGCAGTGCTATTTATCGTAGGGCATGCAGTCAGTACCAGAGATTGAAACACAAGTTTCCCGTCCCCAGGTCCATTGAGAAAGGTATTTTCTCTCGTGAATTAGGCATCTTCCTGAAAGTTTACATGGAGAGGAAAGTCCACCAGAGAATACACTAGAGCTGGTCAGGAATGTTCCAAAATAATTTTTGTGAGACAAGTTACATTTGTCAAAATGGAAATAGTTCCTCAAAAGCTCTCATGTATTTAAAAGATTTTTCTATAGAAGGCTTCTCAGGTTAGAAAAACCTTACCCACAAACACCCGGTAGGGAGTGCCAGAGGGCACTCAGCTGGGCTGCATGAGTCCCAGTTACACATCTCTGCTGTCTACTTCTTTTTCCACTGGAAAGTTTTGAAAGGTCTCATTTTTTGTCTGATACAGAATGGAAAACAGCTCTTCAAATGTCAAGAGCTGTTCACAAGTGACACCGCTTTTTTTGCTGACTGTCCCTAGAATATAGGCAGTTAAAGTATGTTTACCTTGTCCCAGCCTCTGTGTTGTTGTCTGCCAAGAACAGTTAATTCTGAGTTGAAGCAGCTGGGAAGCTGCACTGCTGCAAGTCTTGGCTTAGTTTGCCAATGCCCAGTTTGCATTAACGCAGCTAATCTAGTGTCTGGATGCTGAAGCCTGAAAGCCCCACTGCAAACCCAGTAATATCACTGATTAAAAGAGGAGGCAGCACAAGAGGGGAAAACAAGAGGTCCTATGACCTGAGTTCCATCTCGCTTCAGAGCACACGTTTTGGCTTAGATTCTCTTCTTCAGGAGTCCAGTTTTCCTCAAAACCCTTATAGAGGAATATATGTACCTGAAAGATATGTAGGAAATAAACATGGAGGAAACATGTACAAAATACACAAAACAAACCTGCTCTACTTAATTTGAGCAGAAAAGCGGAAGTACAAGTACAAAACGCAGTGACAGGAAAATAAAAACACAAGTGTACAGTGTGAAGGAACTTGGAACTCCAGGCAACCTCTTGGGGATTTTTCAGCCCAGGCCACTTGTTTCTTGTTGTTACTGCTATTTCTGATCCTCTTGTTACATGGATCTTGCCTTCTTTGTGGGGCTCAAGGAAAGAAAACAGTACTTAAGTACTGCGAGTACTCGAAACATAAAGCCAATTCTCACTTATGGATGACTGGCTCAGACTAAGAAGGGAATAACAAAGCCACCTGAATGACAGCTTGGATCAAGTTCATAATGACCTGGTTTGTACAGGCCAGGTGTTATGTAGATTGGAGCTTGTTATTGTGCAAAATTTTGGCAAGCCTTGCAATGCAACAGCCAGTTCCAGCAGAGCTGGGCATAAAGCCACATACTACAGGCAGGTCTTTCTTCAGCAAGATGGGCAAAGAAGGCTTCTTTTTCTGTACTCGGTACCGTGGGGATGTGAATCAACCTGCCTGTAAAGCATCTGGAATAGAGCTTATAAAGGAATAGAAAAGAGTTTCAAAAGATGGGCTTCCAAACTTAAAGAAGAAGCTTTATAAAACCACATCTCCAAGTTTATTAGCTTTTTCTCAGGGAGCAAAAATTCAGAGCAAAACTGTGCAAGAAACAAGCCTTCCCTAACAGAGTGAGTTGAAAGTGATCTATGTTACAAAATGTCTTTATCAATATCTTCTTCACTTGTTAGAAAGACTTTCATAACACTATACGGCTATTCATGTATTATCTAAAAGTAGTTACTTGAATAACACTGATAAAGAGCTGTCAAAATTAGGGCTCACTTAACGATTGGTTTTCTCGCTTTTTGCTATTAATACGCACATAATTGGTTTGTCACTTAAGCTACTTGGTCTTAAACTTTACTCCTTCTTCAGATGGCCACATTTTTTTTAAAAAGGAAGATAGCAGAACACAAATCAAGAAAATAGGGTCTTAGGTGCAATTTTTGTAAAAATAATTAATAATTCATTTTGCGCTTTCAGAATATCTGATTTTCACCGATACCCAGCATTTGTTCGTTCGTATACCTACAGTTAACAAAAGGGACTATACAAATCAGATCAAGTTAGGTTAATGAATCAGTTTTCTATTTTTTGTTACAGTGAACACTTTACAAATGTGGTGGTAATGCTGTTTTTACACTCTACCACAAAAGCTAGTCCAAATCACAAAAACAGCACAGAATAGATTTCCGAACTATATAATTTCTACCCAGATATTATAATTGCAAATAAATGACAGCTTTTTCCATATACGAAGTAGTACATTTTTACTGTAGTAGTATTAGCTTTTATATTGAAGTCAATGGCACCAAAAGAAGAAAGCCAAGCAGATAATGAATGCCTGCCACAGTGGATTTCAGTCTAAAGGCACAGCTTTCAACAAGTGTTACATACAGGATGGCCACAAAGCAGGTGCTTTAATGCTTCCTGGAAAGGTGGGTTATGATGAGTCCCTTGAATCTCTTATTGTTGTTCCAGAACTTACACCAAAGTTTAGAAGTTATTTTTAATAGTCTGTTACGACCTGAGATCATGAGAATCTGAAAAAAGAAATTATCCTCTCATCCTTAGGGGCAGTGCCTCAGAAATCAATGCTAATGAACAGACTGCAGCATAAGGAAGCTTGCATTTCCCCTGCTGCACCAATTCTGTGCATTCACAAGGGACACTGCAAGTGCCATCATGTGTAATTAGAAACAGGGAGGGGGGAGAAAACGGATATCATTCATTCATGCTTCTTGTGGTGTCATTTCTTTGTGGCAGATTTAACAGAGATTAAACAGACATTCAGTTTAATAATGTTCCTATTTAAGGACTAAACAATTTATTTTTAACTATGGAAAGATTTATCAAGACACTAGCCATAACCGATGGCAGTCCTGGTGTGAACATGACCTTAGATGATGACTTCTTTAGTAATACAGAAGAAATGCATATAAGCAGGATATTTATCATTACTAATATTCTGGTTAGAGTGTACCTCTGAATAGTTATGGTCACTTTTAATGTTGTTTTAAGTCCAAACCCTCCACCCATTTAGCAAGTACAATACCTCAGATCCCAACGCGCATCCCTGCTTAAACCTCAAATAACTGCTGAAACAGGCTTTGAAATCAGTCCTCCCTGCAGCACTGAGCTCATCTGAACTTGATCAGCAAATCAGCTCTAATCCACAAGTCATCTGTCCCTTCCTATTCTTCTCCACCCTAGTTCTGCTCTGCGTGTCCCACAAACGGTGGCAATTCCTAAAGGACACACATGAATTCTCTCTACATGGCTTTATCATACAGTACAGTTCAGGGTACAGGTAGCAGAGTGTGGTTCTGCTGGCTACCTGGGGTAAACTGCAAGTCAAACTGAAATATCAGTGAAGATTTAACCCACATTGGCTCACATAGTGGCTGCCTAACCACCTTATGGAGACTTTCGCTCATCCCTCCCGTTTCTGCTTCCTGCTATGTACCACTACCACAACGGATTACAAATGTTGCATGTTACGCCACCATACTGGAGAAAAAAAAAATAAAACAAAGAACCTTTTTGGTAATGGGCATGAAAGTAGAACATTTCCTCCAGGACTGACTGGTCTTGACCAGTTTCTTCTTTTGCGGATATGCCAACAACTGAGCTGTTTGAGCAAGACTGGAGTCTGCTTTTTGTACCTAGCAAGAACCTTGGCAAAAAACAGTCCTGTGGCCAGAGCTCTCCCTTAATATTTTGCGCATTGAAAATCTTTCCAAGTGCAAGTTACCTTTCACGAACGGGAGGAAAATATTTGAACGTGTACATTATGAGCTCTCCAGATGGAGTTAGGAACAGTTGTTTTGTGTAGAAGAGTATCAATTGTCATAAAATAATATAATTTAGACTTAAGAACCTAGGTTCTACGTTCCTCCCATCAGAAGAGGGCATTAACTATTTGCCCACTAGATCCTTTTGGGACATATCCTCTGTCTGCACTTCCACTAATAGTTATATATCAGCACTCGTATGTGAAGGTCAGAAAGCACTACCTGCCCTCCTACAGACTCTGTCTGTGCTAGAACTTTTTTCATTGCCACCAACCATGGAATCATTTGTCCTGTTCAAATTTCAAGATCATCTCAAGTGTTATTTTTGAGAACGCAGGGTCAGACCTTCTGATACCAATAACGAGTTGAAGAAGGAAGAATATTTATCAATAATATAATTACAAGTTATAGCACATACCACATCTTCCTGAAGAAGACGAATTATCTTCTTGGCTAGAGTCCCTGGAATGGAAAAATGTGATAGCCCTGTTAACATTCAAGGAAAAATGGTACTTATACTGGTGTGTGGGAGACAGTCCTTTCTAAGTTATCACAGCGTACTAGTTAAAAACATGAGTAAGGTGCAGCACAAAGCAATGTATCTGCCACCTATTCAACAGCCACGACAAGGCAAGAATTCTGCCTGCCATGCAAAACAAGAAAAGCTTCAATGGAGGTACTTCGCAAGCTTTTAACCTTCCTGACTGGAGTCTTGTTTTACAGAAAGAGAAGCAAGTCTCCTAGAAAGGAAGGCTTCCCTGCAGAATAGTACCTGGCAATAATTTAATTCCTGGGGGGGACCTATGAAGCATTAAAATTTTTGTGTTCTGAGACGTTACTTATTCACTAACAAAAGGGGTACAAAGAGAGAAAGAGGGCTCAGGCAAGCAACTATTATTAGATCTGAAGTCTGTCAACGACTATGAAGTAAAAAAAATAAAATTCAGGAGATTTTCTTGTAATTTTGTTTCAGCTTTTGTCTTTTGCCCTTTTTCAGTGTTTCTGTTCCACTAGTTTAATTAAGTGTTGAATACAAGGTAGGGACTTGCTCAACAATCAATAATGGAATTCTAATGCTAACGTTAAATTGACTTGCTATTTTTAACATGCTTCTTATTTATTGCCCATCATCCTTAGTCAAGCCTTAGGGCTCTGCAGATAGGCACCCTCTTATGAGATTCCCAAAAGAAGGGCTTGGCCTCAAGGAGATTCAATCCTATCACATACTTCTGAGCATCCACTCAAGAGATTAAAGTCTTGACTTCTATGGCAAATCATCAAGCTGTAATCACACAGAAATTTTTACCTTGAAGTTGTACTTCAGTTCAGTGTTGGGGTACATTGATTGCTCTGTGTCCCTACTAGCTGGACTGTGGCTTACAAAAACCTGTTTTGAAGGCAAAAAAGTAAGCGTCAGACAAGGACAGTCACTACACAGGTATGTTCAACCAGTGGACATTTTAATGAGCCCACCTCCAAATGTGTCAGTGGTGGTAAGCAGCTTTTGGATAGAGACAGCTGCTTGCAGAAATCTGGTTTGACCCAATCTCTTTCATAATAAACAGTTTTCACTCACTACCATACTGAACTGGATTTGGCAGTCTTTATCTTGTGAATATTTTACACAGCCAATTGCTTTATACATAAGTATTGCTAACATTATTTCATATAATATTCTGCCATTATACTACATAACACCTTGCTACAAATTATTATTTAAATTAACTGTTGTTAAATTCCCTGTCAACATGAAATAGAAAAGTGTTTTGACTATAGATGGCAGCAATTTGTAAGACAAAATATTAATGGAATTTAAAATTTCACAACAGAAGTAGGAAGAAAGAATGAGTAGAAATTCAGTCAACAGCTTAATATTCAATCACATGTTCCAGAAGATATGTATGGTACTTGCACTAAAAAGCAGTCAACACCTTTTGTTTAAAGAACCAAAGAAGGGAGGGATATTCTACTGAATATTCAAAACCTTTGCCTTTATAACAGTTCTTTCTCCTTTTTAGGGACTTCCTCTTTGCTACCTGAACATTATAGCACTCTTCAGAATTTTTACACATCTTGTATATCTTGACAAGTTATTTATGAATGTCAGAGTATGTGTCCTATCTATCTGTACACAAAAATACAATAAATGCATTATATACAATTTTACATCAACTTAAGCTTTTCATAAGTTTCTAAAATTGCCCTTGTCCAATTTTTGGAATATGAAATATCCTATTAAACTTAACCAGTTCCCAATAGTAAGGAGTGAAGTATATGTCATATATATGTGCATATCTATATTTCCTTTTCTCTCTTTAAGTTTGTGAATGTGTCCTATACGTCCAGTCAAGCCAGGTTTTTAGGTTCATTTCTGTTGAAGGCACATTTACTGTGCAGATCACTTACTACCTAGGCTGTCATTCCAGAGAAACATATTGCAGCCCATGCACTTCTATTGGAAGCTTTCTAACATTTAGAAATTAGTTCAGCTTATCTGTTCCTCCGTTCTTCACCACATATTTTTCCTGTTAAGCCCCAAAATCAGTGTCATTTCACAAATCAGGTAATCTGAAGCACATAATTGACACATTCTCACACTTTAATAATTCACAAAGCCATCATGTGTAAAGCATTCAGGAACAACAGCAGTCCAGGGAGACTCAAACCTTTGTAAAGGTAATGATCTTGTGCTGAAGTGTGCCTTAATATAACTAAGTGATTAAGGCAACAGTAAATAACTTTAAAAATGTTTTCCTCCCTCCATAATCCTTATCTGGTTATTTCCATCTCTGATCTGCGGTGATTTATTTTCCGTCTCTGGATGCATATATAATAGGCTCAAATAGTTTACATGAACCATGGTCTTGCTAACTGCTACATTTCATGTTTGAATGACATTTCTATACTTTCTTTATTTCTAAAAGGGGCTTTGTAATCCTAAAACCTACATATGCTGAAGCTCATCATTTCTTTCGCTATAGCCTTCATGTTCAGTACCATATCAAATGTATTTACTAAACAATATTTTTTTTCAGATGCCAAAAAACAACTGAACTGCTTTAAGCAAAGACTCATTGCTTCCCAAGGATATAACTAACTGCTGGCAGAGCTCTCTCTGAACTTATTAGTCTACGTTGAAGTGTTGCAGGATTAGTTATAATGACAGTTAACTGTCATTATGTCATTTTTCCCCTGATCATTCAGATTAAAAAAAAAAAAAATTAACAGCACCACGATTAAATGTCTCCATATTTCCTACACCAAACTTTTCACCCACAGAGTTCTCAAGTGCTTCTCCACTCTTCACCCTGGATTTCAGATATTTGCTCTTTCTCCATCACACAAAAATAAGCATTTTTAACAACAACTAAAAAGTTAGTTATACAGAGCATGCAAGAAACTTAACACAAATGTTCAATATTAAGTAAGTGTTTCCTTACTAAACTGTTTGCACTCCCTAGTGTAATAGTTTGGAGGCTACCTATTGTTGAGTTATTCATTTTTATTACTTCAAGGAGCCTGTTACAGCCTTTAGGCACACATTCAAAAGTAATTAAAAAGGACATATGAATTCATCAGTGAGCCAATGACAGCTAATAGTTATTCACTAGTTGAAACAGTGCCAACTAAAAATAACACAAAACTACCTACAGCTCAGGATTCTCCTGGTTTAGGATAGAACTATTAAGCTCCGCAACATTATCTCGACAGTCAACAGAACTCATATCTCCCACCAATATTGTAGGTAGCTTTCAGAACACACAGCCCCCCTTGAGAACAGTTAATGCAAAGATATACTTAAATCATGCAACTGAGAAAGATCACTAACTTTGAATGTTAGTATAGACAAAAAGTTGTCACTTTGCAAAGGTTGTCCCAAACCCTTAATACTTTGAATTTTCATCTGAATAGATTTTATTTAATTTGTGGGAGAAATGGATGGGGCTGCAAAAAATAATGCAATATGAAAGTAAGCCTGATTTATCCTTTTCCACTGCTTAAAGTATTTCAGCATAATATACTCTAATTTAAAAATTATGCGCTAACATTCCTAATTCAATTATCTTGGATTCTAGGGAATTAGGAGGGGAATGGGCACATAGAAGGGCAGGGCTTGCATGCTCTCCCTAAATAGCATCCCCATTGTTACCATCAAAGACAGAACACTAGGCAGACAGACCACTGGTCTGATCCAGTAAGGCATGTTTTACGTTGTCATGTTAAGAAACAGGAAATGCATCTCATACTATTCTAAGTGAAAAAGATTTTTACTTCTTTCAAAGGTACAAACAGATAGGAGATTTTTCTCCCATTACCTCTTTGCTCCTCCCTCCGATATTCCAAAAAAAGGCTTTCTAATAAAGGTTGTGGTATATTGAGTCATTCATTTTCTTGATCTATGACTAGAGTAGGAGGGTGCCATACCTCATGGTAGCAACTGTTGTTTTTTATGGAAATGGTGGGCCAAATTAGTGGAAATGGCAGGAGAGTCCTAACATACTAGTCCAATATCTCTCTTGAATGTAGCTGATAATTGAAATACTCTGTGTAAGGTGTAAGGATTTCACTGTCTCAGATGAATCTTCTGCTTTGGCTAAGATTTCATTTTGGGGAAAAAAAAAAGACACAGGTAAGCCACACACAAGAAACCTACTTCCACACGATCAGCTCTGGAAAATGGCTTAATTCCATGCCCGATGTACTCATCACAGTCCTTTCTTCACCAGTCTGAAGAGCAAAATAATAGCTTTCTGCAGTCTTTCTACAGCCTTCTCAAATTCATTGCTAAGACAACTTACTCAACTAAAAGATGATTCAAACAAACACAAGATTTAATATAAGATTCAGTACAGAAGTATTTTAACTAGATGGAAAGGAATGGGGAAACAAGATACATTTATTCACCTTTGTGCTATACTTCTGCATTTATCATTATTGAGTGAATGAGATAGTATACAGCATTGACTGGTAATCTGCTGATACACATCTAAATGACATTTGCAACACACATTAAGTTAGAGTTTGAACAATGACCAGCCAGAACAAAGTACAGCTGCATGGACTAGTCAATGCAATTGAAGAGATTAAGCAATTCTACTGGTGCCAGTCTGCTTTAGACAAAACAGATAAATGCATTTAGATCTGTATGCGCTTCTGGGATATGAAAAGGCATAGCACATAATAAGGTGTTAAGTATAATACTAAGGTATTATTCACTTTGGGTAGATTGTCAGCAGTGGATCTGAATCCAGTATTTTAAAGGAGGAGCATCTAGAACCTTTCTTTCATGCTCAAACCAAAGCTAAAAAAAGTCTGTTCACAGAAAGAGTACAACAGGGTCAATACTGCAATTCACTCAAATATGAACACGGAAAACTCTACCATATTATTAAATCTCAGGAGCAACTGAAAAAGAATTTCACCAACTTTTAGCTTCTTTACTCCACTTTAAATTATTTTTGGATGTAATACAAGGGTCGGTAATTAATTACAGACTTTTTTCTTTTTATTTTTGCATCTAGAATTATATGAGCCCAAATGAAAATAAATAAGAGGAAACCCAGTACTTCCTAAAAAGGGCATTCTGACTTAAATGGATTGAAATTTTTGTGAAAATCTGAGTCATGTGAAGATTTCATTCTGTCATTCATAAGGGAAAGTAAAGTGGGGAGAAAGAGGATGGGAAGAGGATCTCACAAGCTCTTCAGTTTAACATGGATCCCAGATGCTAGCAGAGTTTTGTTTGCAGAGTACCAAAAGTATCTTTCTCTCGGCCATTAAATGTTCATCTAAATTCATTCACGCTCCTCTTAGCAGCCAGATCAAGTCCATATGATTGCCAGCAAGCACCCATAATTTGACTGATGTGTTCCCATCCATCTAGAAATCTTAAAAGAATCCTTGTAAATGATTAAATATTTAATTTCTAGCAACAAAAGGAGTGAAAAAAATATACAGATGTAGAAATGGCAAGCTGCCTGGATTAGGGCCTGAGGTAGCTGGAACTCTACTGCCTTTGCTGAGAAAAGTAGAACAAAGGTGTTTTAAAGTTACATTTGCATTCACAGCCATGGCAGCAGGGGGACACCATTTTGGCCCCAGGCACAGTAAGTTATTTCCAGATCTGACAAGCACCAGAGAACGTTTCACAGTGTGGGATCGCTGCAGTACTGGATGCAGAGGCTGGCATACAAGCTAGCATCTCTGTACACCCACCAAGGAACTCCTCAGATACCCAGAGAGGCAGAAAGGGACCATAGTATGGGGCAGAAACTGATCTCTAGACTGGAAAACACAGTGAAAGCTAAATTATTAAAAACAGCAGTGGCCAGACAATGGTCATGCACCCCTTTTGAGGAGTTAGTTACACCCATGAATTTGAACAGA